TATATATATATATGGTTTCACTGACCATGAGGAGTGGCCCCACAGATTCTGCAGCAGGGACTAGAGGTACCAAGAGCTGCCACTAGCTCTTTGTTTCTCATGGAGATTGGCCCAGGGGATGCAGGAGTGGTACTGGGGGTCCCTTCCAAGCCTGGAATGTCTCAAAATCCTAGTGGTCCCACTGGAGGCCTAAGAGCAGGAATAGGAGTCCCAGTGGTGTAGGAAGGACCTCTGCCAGCTGCGCCTCTCTCTACCCATCCAGTGCAGGCATGGAGGAGTCCACCAGGAGCAGATGGAGGACTCCACCCCAGCAGGGTATTCACAGTCCTGGCTGCTCAAGTGTCAGCAAAGGAGGAAAACAATCCCAACACCCAGGCTGGTCCCTCGACCAGCACTCTGTGAAGACCTTCTCCTGTCTCCTGCTGGATTCTTGTCTGCCCTTCCCCTTCCTCCTGCCTCAGGCAGGGACCCCACTCAAGTCAGCCTCCAGGTCTGTACTGGTGGCTGCAGGAAGGGAGACTTTCCTGCCTCAGCCTCTGAGATCTTCACTCTGGCTGCAGAAGGGAATTCATCCCTGCAGCTGCTTCCAGCTTCCAATACCTGCTCCAGAGACCTGCAACTCCAGCCCTTGAGACCCTCCAGAGACCGAATCAGACACTCCTCAGGCTCCCATTAGCAACCTGCTTTCTGCAGACTTGTTCTGCAAGGGATTGCTCTCCATTGGTACCCCAAAGCCCTCCAGGAGCTTTAAAGCTTGCCAACGATCTCTTGGCTGGCACCCCAAAACCCACTAAGGACTTACTGCTGGAATCCTACCAGCCTCTCAGTTGACAGCATCCTGTTGCCAATAGAGGTCTCGGAGTTTTTAGTTTCCCATTTAAATTGTTACTCTCACATGGCAAATAAAGTTCCCCTTGTTTTTTTCTTTGCTTTCTACCTACACTTATTCTTAGAGGGGGTGGGACAGGAAACCAGCTGGAGAGAGGAGGTGCTGCTTTAGACTGACCACACAGAGCCCTGGGGTGGAGCCTAGGTGTCACTTTCCAGCCAGCTTGAAACCTGAGGGGAAAAATCCTCATCTCTGATCCCAGCTCTGTCCCTCTGCCCTCTGCCCTCCCCTCTGATAGCCTTCCTGAAGCTTCCAGAACTGGCTTCCTACTATCCCTTGCCCCCAACCCAAAGATCCTGCTCCTCCAGCCAAAATTCACCTTGACTGGCTCCAACCAGCCCCAAGGCTTCAGGGACTCAAGATCACGACATCCATGTGCTACTGCGTGACATCAGAGGATGTCCTCCTGACCTCCTCCATCTCAGGCCCAGGAGCCCCGCCCCCATCCTGGGAAGCCAGCCTGACTCCCCACCCATCACACCTGTGGGACCTATGGTATACCAACTGCTCGCCACAGCCATTCTCTTCTCTGAGGACAGAGAGAGGCATGAGTTACGAAGGGCCTGGAGGGGAAGCCTAAAGACTGGCTCCACCACTTAGCCCAGCTTCATGACTTTTGCCCAGTGCCTCACCTTCTGAGAACCTCTGTTTCTTCATCTGTGATATGGGCAGGAGGACAGGTGTGCCTGTCTGAGAAAATGTACCCAGTGCCTGGTTCAGACTCTGGCCCTCAGAGCGCATTTGTTCAATGCCAGCTGTCACAATAACAATAAAAACAGGTGCCACCTCTGCTAGTTAGAAGCCAGGTGACTTCTCAGAGCCTTGGTTTATGTGTCCCTCATGACAAGACATGACACCTGGCAGGCAGCAAGCATGCAGGCATGCTGTGTCCCCACTAGGGACAGAGCCTTTCCAGTCATATGCCTTGTAGAGAAGCAGGGTTCAGAGAATAGTCTGGGGTTCCCCAAGACCCTTATCAGGGGTTCTGTGAGGTCAAAACTACTTTATGATATGTTAAGCCTTTGTTTTTGTCCTTTTGGTCATTTTTCTCAAGGAGACCGTTTCTTCCAGGGACTCGTCACAGCAGGTGGAGTTATTGGCAAACAGCTGAAGCCAAAGAGGCTTCAAAAATGCAAAAACAATGCCTCTTCTGATCCTTGCCTTACAGTCTGTCATCCACTTTCAGAGTCAATGTACAAGTTTATTATTGTTATAGGAGTGAATCTGAGTTTTTGAAGCATTCTCAGTTTTAATTTAAAAATCAAAAGAAGTAACACAGAGTGCCTTGTGGGCCTCCATCCAATTGAAGAGTGTCAAGGAGTTCTGAGATCCAAATGTAAAGGTACTCCAAAGTCCCACCGTTGGGCTGTGCAATAGGTGGCTGCACACATTCAGGTCAGCTGGCTGAGCCTCTTCCCAGACCCACGAGAGCTATATGGAATGGGGAGCTGGGTCGCGTGAGGGTTTTGGATCTCCTGAAAGCCCCCATGTTGCACCTAAACTTCCAGAATTCCAAGGCCCCATAGGCTGAAAGGCTGGAGCACCTGATGGCCCCACCCTTGGACAGAGCCTATCTGAGAGCCACAAGATGGGGACAAAGCCAGCTTTTGCCATTTGTGTTCCTGCAGCCAGCTCTGCTTGCACTTCTCAGCCACCTGAGTCTATCAACTCCTTTTTTATTTTTTGAGCTTCTTTTCCAGCTAAGAGCCTAGATGAATAACATGGTAACCAGAAAGATGGATGGTGGAGGCACTGCTTGGATCCCCAAAAGCATCATTGAAGACCTTCAATCTGCTGCCCAGGAGAGACCACTCTTGCCCACTACAGACCCAGCAGAGTCCTGCCCCCACACAGCTAGATCACAGCCTGGGTTTGTGTTTAACTTTATCATTTATAAAGCCATACAATGATCGTGAGAGACCAAGCAGCTGTACAGAGAGGGAACAGCATCAGTGTACATACATTCATATCCGGAACATGTAGCATACATCAGGGTTTATACAAGGTGGCAGAGGTTATAGGCACAATGATACAAAATATAAAGTATATTTCCATCTATAAATACACAGCTGGGGGCCAGGGACAGTGGATGGATGTTGGGTACAGGTTTTCCACAGAGGGTCTGGGAGGAGGGGTTGGGTAGGTGTAAGAAACTCCTTACCATTTGGTTTGAATGATAAGTCAGAAGGGAGGAGAGAAAATGGGGAGATATGGCATGCATACCCCAGTGTGCTCAGGCACACATACAAACCGAACATGGGTCCATCAAAAGGATTTGACTGTGAACACTGACCAGAAGGCACAGTGGGCATGTCACACTTCAGTGGCCTTGCCACTAGGAAGGGCCTGGGAGTGGGAACTGACTGAGACCCTCCAACTCTTCAGCTATTTGAGGAGACAGAGGACAAGACGGAAGAGGCCTGCCGAGCCCCACCCCATGTGGCTGATCCTCTCCAACACTGATACTAAAACTAGTAATCCGTGTCTCTCCAGCTCGCCTCCTGGTTCCTTTCACTGCTGGGTCATGTTGAATGTGACATCCCACCATTCACCACCTCCACCCCCCACCTTGAAGTTCCCTAAAGAGATGAGCAAACTACACATATACACACACTGGCACGCCCTCACTTACACACACACACACACACACACACACACACACACACACACCACATATATCTTGTCACCACTGACCATGGAAACACAAGTCTTGGGATCTTCAGTCTAAGCCTAAGTTTAAGGGGTGTCCCTAGCTCTGGGTCCCAGTCCCCTCTCTTCAAGGACCCCAGGTGTGGAGGTAGGAAAAGGCCACTTCCCTTGGATAAGGGCATTACATACTTGATCTCCCCAATACCTGAAGCTGGGAAAAAGTGGGGGTAGGCGTTCCGGGAGGCAGGATGGGGAAGAAAACCCAGAGTAGGGTGAACATTCACACTCACTGATCCCTCTGCATCCCCAGGCAGCACAAACAGCCTAAAGTCTCCACTTGGGCCCACACAAGGCCTCTATCTAGGCCCTTTCTAGAGGGATACACAACCAGTTTCCCACTCCCTTGCCCTACCCTGGCTGTTCCCAATACCCTCAGGGACTCTCCAAAGCCAGGGGCTTAGAAGCCTGTCAGTCATACCCACAGCTGTCTTGGGAGAGGGCAGATGAGATAACTCAAATGACCTTTCCCTGGCTGTGGCTGAGGTCTCCCTGGGGTCCTGCTGTGGCATCGAGGGCTGCGATGTATCTCTCTGCCCTCCCCCAATCTCTCCTCTATTCATGTTCAAGACCAGACAGCACTCTCCCTGCTGACTTACATACTCAAAAATAAACAACAGCAAAACAGATCATTTACAAAATAACGAAGAGTGAAAGTGCTTTCATTTAAAGGAAATCTTTGGCAAAAATAGGTTGCGTATGGAGTCATGTGTGCATGTGGTGTGTGTTTGTGCGTGCATGAATGTGCACAGGCCCACTTGTGAGAACCAGAGTGGGAGGGGGACAGAATATAGTGTGGTCCCACCATGAGGACTGGGGCCCTTTCCCCATCTTTCTCCTGGAAAAGTCAAACTCAGGTGCCCACTCTAGCTAGAGGCATGCTGAGAGGGAGGCACTCACTTTCCAACATCTATCCTGGTCCTCATGTGATTCACATGTGGCTTGGGCCTGAAAGCAGCATGGGGAGCTGGAACAGGATGTGAAGGCTGATCCCAGACACAGGTCTGGCTAGGCAGGGTGCTGGAGGCTCTGATGCTTAAGTGAATATTCTGGCCAAGAAGACTCCCCACGCTGTGCAGCAGGATGAGGGTATTTACAAGAAAGAGATGAGAGCTATCTCCTTCCATCGTGGGGAAGAACTGGGGTTCAGTGGGGAATGAGGAGGGGGAAATCCAGGCATCTGGCTTGAATACCTCTGAAGGAAGGGCACTTTGGAAGGACCTTGCTCATTAAACCCACAGTTTATCTTTTTGGAAGCGGCAGGGGTCACAAGAGCCTCCGCCCAAATGCCACACTAACTTAGACACTCTGTAGTTCCCTGAAACAATGTCCACACAGACACAGCTCCCTGGAGGAGAAAAAACCCAAGAGGTACACACACCATGGGCACACACACCCACATCCCCAAATGCTCACACACTCACTCAGGCCTGTGCTGATGGCGCAGCTGCTCATACATCTGGGATGCCAGCAGCTGGGCCATCATTTGCTGGAAAACAAAGGGCTAAAGGGCTAGAGCACCTGCATGCCATCCCCCAAGCCCCAGGTGTAGCCTAGGTATGCTAAGACCAGGGCCAAGGCTAAGGCCATCCCTGGGCTATTCCAAGTATAAAGACCCCCTGCAGTTCAGGTTCTACTGACGTGTTAGAAAAGAGATGGGAATGGTTTATGGGAAAGGGGCCATAAAGCCATATGGGAAAACAATAAATATTTCTTGTCAATTTACCTATTCTTTTTTTTAACCTTTTCTTATATTTTATTACCTTACAGGTTCTATCAGTATGCCTTGTGTATATATTATATATTATATATATATTTATATATCAGTACAATGCCCCTCTCTAGGGGCCCCCATGGGCTTAAATGGAGGCCTGAGTGGAAACAAGGGGACTTCCCAACCCCACAAGTGGACCCTAAGACCTTTGGCCTAAATGCATACCTTCTGCCTCTGTTTCCACAGGCAGCATGGCTCTGCTAGGGAAACTGAGGCAGAAGGGGAAACAAAGGCTTCAGCATTGTGGGAGGGCTATGTGGTATACCAGCAGCAGCCCCAGAGGCATTATGCTGACACCCTGGGCAGCCCAGACATAGAGTGCCTGCAGCAGTCAGACCCCACTATCCAGAGGGGAGAAGAAAACTCCAGGCATTCCCCTTTCCCCAGGGCCAGGCCAAGCAGGGCTTTGGGAAGTAGGCTTCTGGGAAGAAACAACATGAGCACCCCACAGGACAGAGCCAGTCAGGAAGGCACAGCCCAAGTCCCGGGTAGGCTTCATGCACATGAGCAAGTATAAGGCTGGTGCTGAGCCCAGGAACAGGGCTGAGAGGAGGGCGTAAGGCAAAGTCCCAGGCATTGGCAGGGCACATGCCCAGCTCACTGTGAGCTCCATGCCACAGAAAAGATACCACTCTTCCTAACAAATCTCTTCCTCGGGCCTATGGACAGTTTTATCTCCTCTTCCTCCAACCAGCTCCAGCCTCCAAGGGACAGAACAGCAATAATGCTGTAGGGTGGCCACACCCCTCCTATGCTAGAAGCCTTCAGGGCCACTAGAGGGCGGGTGCAGGGACAGAGAAAACTGCTCCCCATAACGCTGTGTGCTCCTGCAGGAGAGAGACTGTCACCCCCAGCCCTGGCCTTCTTCGAACAGTGTGCACATACATACATATATGCAAACATGAGGGACACAGACAAGCAGACCTGTTTGTAATTCTAGGGGACAGAGGCAGGTCAGTCAGTGCATGGGAACACACGTGCACCCTGCAGCAATACACAGGGCAAGCACAGACTTTGAGTGCCTCTGGTCAGCAAAACTTGAAAAAAGTGCCACCAACTGATGTCACACACTATCTGGTTGGTTTAGCAACCTTACCTCCAGAAGGCCAAAAATAACTCTCAGCTTGATTCCTTCTTGCAAAGCAGGTAGGTTAGGGAAACTGAGCTTTTTCATTACCCCCCCAAATTTGGTCCCCCCAAAGAGGCCTGTTTGTGTCAGGAGCTTCATCCTCTCAGAGGGGGAGGGAAGTCAGGGCCCCCAGGCTAGCTGGAAAGGCTTTGGGAGGTATGGCTTCCATCTACACAGGGACTCTGGACTCCTCTCCTCCAGCCTTCCTTTGAAACTTCCTCCTTCTTCCCTCCCCTCTGCAATTCACTTCCCTCTCCCCACATTGCACTTTCTTCTCTCCTTCTCCACAATTGGCCCAAAGTCCTCTTCCTGGATTCAAGGTGGTCAGGATTCATGGATCCCCTCCCCACATGCCCCGTCCCCACTGCCCTGGCCCTGGGCAAGGGCTCCAGGGTTCATCTCTTCTGGCCAGCATTCATCATGACCTTGGAAACGAAGCTGACGATGGCAGACGCAGGCTGGTTGGGGTCAAGCTCAGCAAAGAGGTGGCAGGCGTTGTCTGTGGTGCTGCCCTGCTTCCGGGCCACAAAGCCAAAGAGCCTGCAGGGATGAGAGGGTACCTGTGTGAGGACCCCAGGGTCCAGAGGGCAGCCTAGGCAGGCAAGCTTGCCTCAGGTCAGCCTGTCTTCCTCCAGCCCTCCAGTCTCTCCAAGCATCTAGGATAGGGGTTAGCTCTAAGAGCCAAGTCCTGGGGACAGTGCCTTGCTTTGTTTCAGGACAGGTGACACTTCCCTGGGGAGTGGAGGGAAAGGGGCAGGCTGGGTGTGAGGGAAAGGTACATGCAGGGAGACAGGACAGGAGGCAGGAACATTCCTAACCAAGCTTCTCTGGGTGCTTCCCAGCTCTGCCCCTATCTGAGGGTTCCTACAGGACATGCCTCCCAAGAGGTCAAGAAGACAAAGGACAAGCAGGTCCTCTGCTTGCCTAGACACACACACACACACACACACACACACACACACACACACACACACTCCTATCTGGAAGCTGGGAAATCCAGAGAATAGGCAGAGGATGGGGCCCCTACACCTGTGCCCTGTCCCCTGCCCTCTACACACCAATGGGAGTGACCTAGCATTCCCCTTCTCGAAAACAGAGTTAAAAATATGAGGGCAGAGAACAGAACGTGAGCTCAGGGCCCCTCCCAGCCAGTGTTGCTAATTAGAGTGAGATGGGGAAATCAGGACAGCTGGAGATGTTGGTTGAAACCCCTCGGCCTGGTATGCAAGGCACCCACAACTAAAATTAGCCTGGCTAGCTTCTGTCCGCCAGTGTGTGTCTGTGGAGTGGAGACACACACAGCACATGCATATTTACATGGCACATACATGCACAGTACACCACAAACACACACACAGAGAGAGAGAGAGAGAGAAAGAGAGAGAGAGAGAGAGAGAGAGAGAGAGAGAGCCCTGTGCTTCAAACAGCTTGTTCTCCCAGCTGTGTTGCAGGAGCTGAAGGCCTAGGGTAATGGCCAAGAAGCCAGACAAAGCAAGGCACTTCCCTTTCCAGACTAGCTGTGACTAGGACATGGTAGGTGTGATCCAGTTAGGATGAGGTGCATCTCTGAGCTCCCAGAATGGAAGCACACCAACCCTGGCTGTTCACTCCTGCCAAGATGGAGACCCAAGCAACTGCTGGGCCTGCTCTGAACACTGCCACCTGACCCATTGGCAAGTTCCAGCCTGTCTGGCTGGCTGGCAGCAGCATGAAGACTTGGGAACATGGGAGGCACATGAATGTGAAGTCCCCAGTGACCCTACGAAGGCTACAGAAGGCTGAGGTACCCTCCTCCCAATCAGCCCTTCTGAAGCCCCCAAGGATCAGGCTCAAATTCCTTGTCTTCTCCATTCCTAATCAAGTTAGCCTCCCTCCAGCCACTCCAGGCACTTCTTCCAGCCTAAGTTCTTTCCTTTCTTCATTCAACAAATGTCACCAGGCAACAGATCCAGTCCTGACCCTAGGAGCCTGTGGTCTGAAGGTTGTACCAGCCCCTCACTAAAGTGGTCTCTCCTACCTCTGCACTCGTTTCTACCTGCCCAAAATGCACCTGTCATTTAAGACCCATTTTCAAGTATTCATTCTTTCCATAAATCAGGTTTTCCCCATGCCTGGACACATGCCTTTGTTAGCATAAGACTTTCTCCTGATCTCGGTGATCTTGGCATGCAGGTCCTGGCTGCCCTTTTTGGACCCCTGGCCTAGATCCTAACCCTGCCCCTGTTCCTCTCACAGAGGAGCACAAAGGCCAGCCAGCTGGGGCAGAGGAGTCACACTTACTTAGCAGGGGCGCCTCCCTCTGTCTTCATCCACCTTCAAAGAGAAAGACACTCAAGGTAAGTCAGTGCACTTTTCCCAGGAGCCCCACCAGGCCCAGGCCAGGCCTCCCAGGGGAAAGCAGAGGAGCCCCACTCTCAGGAGACAGAGCCTCCAAAGTCACACAGGGTAATACAGGTGGAGGAGATACTTCAGCTTGCCTCCCATGTGGAGAGGAGACACAGCAGAGGGCGCTGAAATTCATGGAGGATCTCTAGGTATAGGGAGGAGACTCAACAGGTTGCCCAACACAATTGCTCTCACTGCACAGGATGCAGCAGAGCTGCAACTGAGTCAAGATTACACAGGCATGCACATGCACACATTTCAGGGGTAGAGCAAGAGTATTTATGTAAAGACACTTACTTTCTTTCCTGTGGATCCAGGTCACAGAAGGTGACGGTGTTGAGGGGGTAGTGTCGTCTAAAGAAGAGCCTGTGGCACAGATAACAGATAGCCAGAATGAGTGCCAGAGTGACTGTTTTTTCATACTGGCCACCTGAAGGTCTAGCCACCTTCCCACCACTGTGCCTGTTATGGGTCCACATAGTCTCTTCTCATGAGTAAGAAGATTTGAGCAGTTCATACTGGGACCTGAGTCCCGAAAATTGATGTGCCTTGGAAACATGATCCATATGCTAGGGGATGGGAGGACACTGGTGCTGAGAAATGGCAAATAGGGGACCTGGAGGAGGAAGGAAATGGGCTGGGGACACAGTTATGCGAGAGGCCAGTGAAAAGGCCTCTGCTCCTAAAATCAAGGACTTTTCTTTAGTTGTATAATGTATGTTCAAAGCAGAACAATCCCTTAGAAGTATGGATACATACATGGGTGGATGGGGTGAATGGGTGGATGAGTAAGTGGATGGATGGATGGATGGATGGATGGATGGATGGATGGGTGAGTGGGTGGATGGGAGGATGGGTAGATGGATGGAGAATGGATGTAAGATGGATGAATAAGTGCACTGGTGGACAAATGGGTACAGGAATGTATGGCTAAGTAGGTAGATAGGTGGGTTTGGAGGAAAAAGCAGGTAGACAAGACTTACTTTCTTTGATTGTCAGTCAGTGTGATTCCCTGGGCAGAGACCTTGAAATGAACAATTGTGGCAGCTGGTGTCGGGTCAGCAGCCAATGTCTCTGATGTGGCTTTAGAGATGGCCTGGGGCCCAGTGAGTGACTCCATGTCCACAGAGTTGAGGAAGAGTACATTGCAGGCTGGAAGAAATGGAGCCAAGGAAGAGTCAGTGGGGCTAGAGTAGGCGGGAACAATCCCCCAGATCTATTCTGCAGGGACAGGTAGCAGAAACATTTCAGGCCAGCCTGGGGCCAAAGCAACTGCACACAGAAATGGAATCTAAGAGAGATTTCCAACTTTCACCTGCAAAAGGGGTCAGGACAGAAGCAGGTAAAGAAAAGCTCAGGCAGAGATCCCATCTCAGGGGACATACTCACCTGCTCCTTGCTTCAGCAGGTCAGTGGTTGAGTTGGCAGGGCCTGAGCTATCTTTCGATTCATCTGTGGGGTCTGAGACAAAAATTCAGCCAGTAATTAAAACCCAGAGCTACAGAGAAGTGTGAGTCTGGCTGGGCCTAAGCCGAACTCTGCAAAGTGCTTAGTACAATGGATACACTTTGCATAGTGGGTCCTGGCAGTCAGTGCTGGGTTTGTGGGATGTCTCAAAGGCCCTAGTGTGCTGCTGGAGAGCGGAGCTGGGCTCCAACCCTCACTACCGTACTTGTTAAATGTCTATGAAATAATGATGGTGATGACAAAAGTGGTGCCCGTGTCACTGGGTCTTTGAGGAATTGTAGAGATCAACTAGTGATTCACTAAAGCACAATGCAGCCCAACCGTCATTTTAAGATGAATTAGAACAGAATGATAGACACATTGAGCAGCTTGACTTCACCAGTACCCAATGTGAACCTATAGCAACATGTTACATTACACACCACATACAGCACAAGTTTTATTTCAACTATAAACAACAAGAAATTTTTTTAAAGCTATCATACAATGGTGTGGTGCATGCTTGTAATCCCAGCACTCCAGAGGCTGAGGCAGAGGACTGTGAGCTCAAGGGTAGCCTAGACTATATAAAAAATCTTTTAAATCTTGAGGCTAGAGAGATGGCTCAGTAGTTAAGAGCATTGACTGCTCTTGCAGAGGACCCAGGTTCAATTCTCAGCACCCACATTGCAGCTAACCACCATCCATAAATCCAATGCCAGGGGATCCGATGCCTGACCTCCAAGGACACTGCACAACCCAGGTGTACTTACACACATGCAGGCAATACACTCTTACAAATAAAAATTTAAAATAGTTATTTAAAAAGGAATAAAAATCTTTTTCAAAGATCAGAAGAATAAAGGAATAATGAAGTGTTGTTTACACCAGTGCTTCTCGCATGGTTTGTAGACTTGTTACAATACAGACTGCTGGGCCTATCCCACCTCTGCATTGTGCTGTGCTGTTTTGCTTTGTTTTCTTGCTGCTGTAGGTTGAATCTTTGCACTGGGCAAGTGTTCAACCACTTGGCTGCATAGTCCAGTCCTCTTTTTACTTTTCTATTTTGAGACAAAATCTCATCATATTGTCCAGTCTGGCCTTGAACATGTGATCCACCTGCCTCAACCTCCTCAGTTTCTAACACCATAGGCCTATGCCACCAGGCCTGGCTCTGCCCCAGAGTTTCTGTTTCAAGTTCCCAGCTACAGCAGCTCCAGGGAGTATACTTTGAGAAATGCTGGTTTATACAATTTAAATATCAAGCCATTTTTGAAATTGCTTAACTTTCATAGTAAATTCCTTATTGACATAATTAAATTAGTGTCTAAACTGTGTGGTTACTAATGCTATTGAAGTTGCATTTGAACTTTTAAGCTAATAATGTCAGTCGATTATTATTAATAATTCAATGTGTTGAATTGGATAAATAGAAATGGTTAACTAATATTGGGAGTTTCTCTCATCTACCAGGATACAGTCCTTGTGTGACTGTCCCCTGCTTCTCAGACCTCCCTTGGTATGAAGCTGATTCTGAGAATTCAGCATGAATTTCTTAAGTCTCTAGAGTATTTTCTAGAACAATATGGCAAGTCAATTATGTGTGCTCCTGGATTTTTTTTGTTTGTTTGTTTTAGATAGGGTCTCACTCTAGGCACAGTTGGCCTGGAACTCGCTATGTAGACCAGGCTCATCTTGATCTCATAGAGATCTGCCTGCCTCTGCCTCCCAAGTGCTAAGATTAAAGATGTGTGCTACCACCACCACCACCACCCACCACCACCACCCCTGCCGCCGGCTCCAAAGTTATGTTTTTTAATGAATTTTTTTTCTCTCTCTTTCTTTACAGAGGAGTAGGGGTGATTATATTCCCCATGTGGCCTCCATCCTGGCTCCATCCTCCACAGCCATCATGAAGTTGTGTCTCCTGAGCATCCTACCTCGGCTTGGAATGACCAGCTTACAGGGCAGGGCCAGTGGGAGGACCGAGTGCTGGTAGACCAGGGCAGACAGGGAGCCTATAGGATGAGACAACACACAGGGCAGAGTGAGTGGGAGCTGGACATGCAGAGGTAGTGAGGAACCCTGCCTGCCACCCCATACCATCCCCAGTTTCTTTTGTAGTTTTTGTTTGTTCGGTTCCTAGGGCCTGAGTGTGCTAGGTAAGCACTGGGTGGCATTCACCCCAGCCTTCAGCTTCTTCATTGCCACCACCTCTACCCCCACCAACAAAGTTGAGAAGTCACCCCCTTTCACTCTGGTAACTGTACGGAGACCTAAACACCTTCCTTGACAGACAGTTCCTCTTGCCATCTCCCCTAAGCCCTTCCTGTTACAGAGCCCACCTCAGAACAGCACAGTAAGAATATGAGAGAATTGTGGCATCAATCCCAGTGCTGCCATTTATCTAGGTGACCTCAGCTAAGTGGCTCTTATATATTCCTTATACATGCAAAATGGGGAGAGTGACAGCTACCATACAGGACTGCTGTGAAACCAGAACAGCATAAGTCACCTAGACACACCATAGGTGTCAAGAATGATAGCTGTCCTTACAGCTAGTATTATAAAGTAAGGACAATCAGTCTCAGTTGGGCAGGACAAGCACAGAAAGGGACCTGGCAGAGAGGTAGAATGGCAGTGCGTGACTAAGATGTGTGGCTGGGTCTCAAGAAAACTTTATTTACAAGAACAGCATCTGCTCCTTTCCTCTGCCAAAGCCATGCCCAGCAGAATTGGCAGTGGACGGATGGATAGAACTTGGGTCAGACCTCAGTGGGGGCTGGGACAGGGCTGAGGTCATAGTGACAAGCCAGGATGCTTACCAAAGTTTGGCTCATTAGGACAGCCCTTGAGCTTGACTCCTCTGGGGCCTGTCTCTATCAGAAAGTGCCGCACCAGCTCATGGGTCATGTCTCCTGGGATGAAGAGGAAGAAACAGAATCGGTTACTTCATTTCCGTAGCACTCTCCCAGCACCTCTCAACACTGCCTTGCAACTTCCACAGTGCATAGGCTGAGGATGGGAGAGGGAGGCATAATGGCCAGAGTCCTATAGGATGGAGACCACCTTTAGTTCTTCTCCCATTCCCCTAAGAATGCCCCTCCCCCCAGAGTCCCAATAATCCTCTGTCATAAAGCCATCACTCACTCTCCTTGAGCTTCTCAGAGATCAGCCCGATGATGAGTTAAAGACCCTGCTCAGTACCCCAAGTACCTCAGGGTCTGAAGCAAGCAGGTTTTCCCCCAGCCATGGCCTGGTAGGGAGAGGACATTACCTTTTTTGCCCTGCTGAGCAATAGTTGGAGGAGGTGAAGACACCTTCATGGCCAGCCCATAGGCCCCTCGGAAGGAATGGCTGTCACGGATGATAAAGGCCCCCGGCTCCTGATCCTTCAGTAGCGCAATGGCTGAAATGAGAGGAGATGGGAGAAAAAAAGCATCAAGAAATCAATAGTATTGACTTGGTTTGAGTCCCCAACTTTGTTTTTTGCTTTTTCCTGTAGTGTCAAGTGCTCTTGAGGAGCGTTTTTCTTTGCCTGGGAAAATTGAGACTTTTGTAGAACAGTCCAAGGCTATGCTTCTAATAACTCCCACCCCAACATGGGAAGTGCTTTTTATGTCCGACTTTTATCCCAGACTCTTCTCTGTAACCACTACCTATTACAAAAAGGAGTGAGTCCTCGCCCAAGGCAGATATGGCAGGCAGCAGTCCACAGTGTACTCCACAGTGGAATACCAAACTACCAGCACCATCTCAAACTCACCTTGCTCTCTGGAGATCTCAGGCTTGTACCAATACTTGGAAGTATCCTGGACAAATTTCACTTTGGCCCGTGTCTCAGGGCTGTTGTCTAGAGAAAAGGAAGGGGAATAAGTATCACATGTTGAATTGAATACCCCAATAAAGACATGTTGACATCCTAACCCTCCAAACCTACAAATGTGCCTTATTGGGAAATAGGGTCCTCACAGATGTAAACAAATTTAGACTAAGGCATGCCAGACTGGGGTAAGCCCTAATCCAACATGGCTAGTGTTCTTTTAAAAAGGAGAGAAGAGACAACAGACAAATGGGTACAGCACCAGGTAAAGATGGAGGCAAATGTTGAGATGATGCACCTGTAAGCCAAGGGATACCAGACTGCCAACGTTAAGTTTGGAGAAGTTTGGAGAGGAGCTTGGACTGGGTGCTCCCTCAGAGGTCCTGCCAATGCCTGGATTTTGGTCTCTGGCCTTTGTTATGATAGAATTTATTTCTACTGTTCTAAACCACCAAGTGTGTGTCATCCCCAGGAAACTAACCCAGAAAATTAGACCCTCAAATTATCACAGAGCAAGGCAGGAGGGACAGAATGGCCTTCTCCTCAACCCTGTCTCCTGCCAGCCACCATGGGTTACAGGGTCTGACATCTGCTGAGCTACTGAAAGTCCTTCCCCACCCCAATCCCTGTGCCTAGAAGATTCTGGGGACATCTTCCCTACTTCCCTTCCACTGTTGACACCTCCCTAGTCCCTTCTCCCTGTGCTCCGCCTCCCAGCATCAGCCTAGCATCCATGAGCAGGCATCAGGAAGACCCACATCTATCTCCTGTGGCCAATCAACTCATGATGCCAACATGGAAAGCAATGCTCTGCATCAATAGAGCCCCAAACCACTCATCTTCTGACAGATAGACCAAGGGCTGGCAGGGACTCTAGAGGCCATCTACAGAGTGTCACACACCCCACTTCTCTGGCAGATGATATCCCTGCTCAGATGGTCTGCAGACCATAGTCTCTTTTTCAGAACATTCCATTGCAGTGCAAGTTCAGATAAGATGAGTCCAGCTGCGTAACTTTCTCAGTGCTTGTCCTCCTCCTGCCTCGTCCTCACACTGCTGTTAACCACACCTGGCTCCTTATCATTTCTTTGTGTTGTGAGCCCTCAAGATCCTCAGTCTTAGTTCTTCCTAAAATGCCTATTGGTTGTTGTGAACAGCAGCCCTTCACCGTGCAGTACAATGCCCGAACTCTGTCTTCCTCTCTATCTACATTCTTTCATCTTTTGTTACCAAAGGGGAAGAAAGGACAAAGCTGGAGGAAGAAGAGGAAAAGTGGAGGGGGGGTTGCACTTCCACAGTTCTCCTGTCCTCTGTGAGAGACTGAAGCAGCGGACCCTGTGCCGAAGGTGCTGCTGAATTAGGGGAGAAGGAAGCTGTGCCTGCCACTGCGGGGCTTGGTCTGGCCTCTCGTGAGCATCTGAGCTGTCTCCAGAAGTCGGAGGAGACTCAGCTCCTTTCCCAGGCTGGGCAGCTAGGCCATGCAACTGCTGCCGGCACCTGGCAGGCCTCTGAAGCCCCAGCCATGGTTGCTCTAAAGAGCTGTGAGAGGTGGCGCAGTCACGTGTGCCTTCCTCTGTTGATTCCAAGGCTATTTTAAGTAGAGAAGATGGTGGGAAACAGGAAGTGTCTCAACTACTAGAAACTTCACATCCTTCAAGGAGTGGGGCTGGGAACCAGATGTCCCCGGTGGGAGGCAGGAAGCAGAGGAGTGCGGGACCACTCTAAGTGTCCCAGCTTGGCAGAGCCTGGGAGGGATACAGAACACAGTCTAGGGTGCCTCAGGCCTACCCCAGGCTGTCTGCAATATTCTGCATCTGCCTTGGACACAAGGAGCCTTAGAGGTTCTCTGCACATGGGGTCAAGGTCTGGCTGAGAAGCTACGGATCACCTGAGACCTTGAACTTCGAGATTACAGAATTAGTTATTTCCATGGAGCAAGCTCCTAGTGTGTGAAGAACTCACCCAGCAACCCTGCCTGAGCTTCCAGGGAGCCAGGTCGGTCTCCCCCACCAGCCTTCACTCATGTCACATCTGCCCACCCAACCATCTGTTAACTAAGGTGGGGCTGACAAAAGTCACAGAGGTCCAGGTCTGGACAGCATGTTCTCATAGCTCTGCCAAGTCACCCTTAAGATATGGACACTTGCTAAAGGCACTCCCGTGTGTGTGTGTGCGTGCGTGTGTGTGTGTGCGTGTGTGTGTGTGTGTGTGTGTGTGTGTGTGTGTGTGTGTGACAGCATGCATGTGGAGATCAGAGGACAACCTTGGGCATCGGTCCTTGCCTTGCCCCTTGTTTGAGATAAGGTCTCTTGTTCGCTGTAGTGTACACCAGGCTAGCTGACCTGTCAGTTTTGGAAGATTCTCCTATCTCTGCCTCCCATCTCACCACAGGAGTGCTGGGATAGACATGCACTACCACATCCAGCTTTTACATGAGTTCTAAGGATCCAACTCATGTCTTCATGCTTGTGGGGCCAGTGCCTTACCCACTGAACCGAGTCTCCCCAGCCCTAAGGGCACTCATTTGGGAGTAGCATGGGCCTACTGGATTGGAAGCCAGCTCCACCACTAAGCAACTGTATAGTGTTGGCCAAGCCACAGAGCCTCTGTGAACCTCGGCGTGCTCCTATATAACACATAACAGTACTTCCCAGGAACTGAAGGATTAAACAAGATAGTATTTAGCTCAGGCTTCCACGCTGCCTTGTTCCACATGTGGCCAGTGATCCTAGCCCCATCTTATTCATGCTTACTGCTCTGTCCTCCTCTTTCACACTTTCATCAAAGTCATGTTTTAAAGACATAACTTCCGGCATAGACAAGGAACCTGGGCCCAGAATAGTTGTCTGTGGAAGGATGGCTGGGTCAGATGTTCTGACTCTTAGGAAGGTAGAAACAAAGGGAAGAGACACACCTGGCATGGAATACTTGGAGAAGTCTGGTAGCGTGTGAGAGAAGGAGACTGTGCTGCCCCCGCTGGGACTGGACATGCCACTGGCAACAGGTGAGGAGGAGATCTTTCCATTGATGGTGGCGTAGTTAGGGAGGCTGCCTGCTCTGTCTCCTACTGACATCCTCCGCTTCTCCGGCAAAGCAGGTGTGGGGCTCCCTTGCCGGAAGGCTGCCGAGTCTGGTGAGGGCGAGGTGGCAGGGCTGCTCAGGCCAGGGTAGTAGGCAGGGGACACGGGGAAGGAAGGTGTGGAAGGAGCCTGGTAGCCCGAGGCGCTGCTCTGCCGGGACAGTGTGGGTCGCCGGTCCTCAGGGGTGGAATAGCCGCCGTAGGCTGCATGTCGGTCCAAGCTGGGGCTTCTGGGAACCACAGCTCCGGACCCACCAGGGTGCCGGCCTAGGCTGGGGCTCCCAGGGCTAACTATTGCATTGCCATGGAGACTGGAGACCAGGTTGCCTTGATGGGGCCCAGGGTGCCGGCCTAGGCTGGGGCTCCCTGGAGTGGTAGCCACATTGCTGTGGAGGCCTGGAACCTGGTGGGCTCCTGCTGGGTGCCGACCCAGGCTGGGGCTTCCAGGAGTGGTCACTGCACTGCTTGGGTGACCAGAAACCATGTTACCATGGAAACCAGGGCCTGATGGACCCATCACCTGCCGGTGACTCAAACTGGGACTACCAGGGGTCGCCATGGCTGGGTTGATGGCGCGCCGGCCAAAGCCAGGGCTAGGAGGAGTGTTGGTGCCCACTGTCCTGTGTCGTGCCTGAGGGCTCCCAGGCACCGTGTGGACACTGGCCACGCTGAACTGTGGCTGGGCTTGGCTTTCCGGAGAGGAGTTGAACTGCTGGAGGGAGTAGTCAGGGCTGCTGTAGCTGCTGCCCCCGGCAGGAAGGGGTGAGGAGCTCGGATAACTCCTCTGTGCCCCAGGGCTCGGCTGCCCCAGGCTGCCTGAGCGGAAGCTGGAATCCAGCAGCTGGGTGGGTGTCCGGGGGCCCTGGTCGCTGCTCTCTCCTGATGGAAAACTGCCAACAGAAGTGCTAAAGAAAGATGGCAGTTAGAAAGGTTAGTGGATGGCATTGGGTGAAGGGTGGGCTTTTGCTGAGTGCCCAGACTTCCTGCAATGAGCTCCACTTGCAGCATAGGGAAGTCAGGGCTTTTATACATTACTTAATGGAACCATCATTAGAAGAGACAGAGAGTCAGAGTTTACGTAGTAAGTTCAGCACCACAGAGCTCTAAAAGCCCAGGTTTCTGACTCAGCTATATCTAATTCAAAGCTATAAGCCCTCAGCATCATAGAAACTTAGTCTCAAATAACCTAGCTCTATTGCTTCTAGGGCCCAGCTTGATTCAGTTTCCCTGGGTGTGTTATCATTCTAAAGCTGGGATTTTATTCCTAAGTGAGTCCAAAAAAATCAAAGAAACAAAATCATATGACGGGGGATTCAAACTAGGGGGTTTCCGCTCATTAAAAGGTCTGTCTTTCAGTCACCAATAGCATAAGCTGCCTTACATGGTAATGAGGCTCCTGTCACTAGAAGCATGTCATGGACAAAGCCAAACTCTGTCCATTCATGATGCACTGAGAGAGACAAAGGTTGACAGGGACCCAGGTAAGCAACCACTAGAGGAATGCATCAGGCAGGTGGTACATTGGAACCCCAGGGAAGGAAGGTTCCTTATGGAGTTAGGACCCTGGAGGTAAGAGGCTGGGGTTCACTTTAGGGCCAGCAAAAGGCAAGGCAAGAAGAAGGTCAAAACAAGTGGCCTGGAGCTCCTAGTGGGAATGAACTGGATTCTAATGAAGGGGAGCCAGAACAGGCTACACTATGTATAGCAGAGGTGGAGAGTGGGAGCAGGAGTGGACATGCTACAGTGGTGTTCCAGAGTTTTAGAAGTGAGTTTTGGGGGAGGGGGCAGAATGAATGAGAAGCCACCAAGATGGCCCCAGGGTCCCCATGATAGTGTAGCCAGGACAACTGAGGGAATTCTTGTTCCTTCAAGCAGAACTCAGGCCCCTGCCATCACCACACCTCAAGAGGCAGCCAGCAGCATCTACCCTGCAGAGGGGTTATTGAGAAAGAAGGTGGGCTGGTGGGTGTTTGCTGGAAGTTTCAGAATCAGGGCCCTGAGGAAGCACCTCTGCTCATCTCTCTCTAAGACCTAGATGGGCTCAGCACTGACCCAGGTTGGGTGTAGGCAGTAGACTGACCCCAATGAAGGAAGGAAGCTGGGGAATCTGAAGGCCACAGGGATCCCAGGATACAGGGAAGTGGGTTCCATAAAAGAAGGGGGTAGGGTCTCCTCTGCTGGGGTGAGTTCCTGCCAGTGTAAACTGGCCCTGTCCTCCTTCTCCTGGCTGGTAATCCACCTCCATGCCTTGCCCCAGCCCATATCAACCTCTCTCTCGTATTGTTTTCCTATTCATAGCATAGAGTCTCATGTTCACCACTCAGCCTTGCAGCTCCCCACTGTACCCCAAGTGGGACCCTCCCTCTAATGAGCCCATCTGAGGGGCTATCCCCTCTCCTTTCCAGCCCTGGGTTTTCTTCCCTGCCAAGTGCATTCAGATCAGTGCCGGTGTCTATCCACCAAGATACCCGTCCTCGCAGGCTGCATGGTCTGAGTTACCCTCTCCTCCACATCAAACTCCAGTCCTCTGTCCCTCTGCTGACCTTCTAAAGCACTCTCCCTACATCTTCACCTCAGACATCCAGACATCCTTGTCCCCTTACTCTCCCCCCATAGCTCCAGCCTTCAACATCCTCTCCACTTCCTTGGCCAGAAATAATTGTCCCTACTCTGAGCCCCAAGCACTCTAGTTCCGGTCCAGCTCTGGGCATATATGGCTCTTGTCTATGCAGATCACTCAGGTCTGGGGAGTGGAGAGCAACATGGACTTCAGACTCAGGCCTGTAGGTGGAAGACCATTTATGCTACTGCTGAGCGACTGCCCTTTTGAGCCTCAGAGGCCTCTTTTGAAAAGTGAGGACAGCAGAACTTAGCGCCTGAGATTGCAGCAAACAGTAGATAACTGCTCTACACACTGAGGAAAACAGCCTATTGCTGGGACAGGGCTTCCTGCACACTAGTGGTTACCAGCGGGAGACCATAAACAGGGAAGGACTGTTCACTCTGGTGAACTGACCTCAGTCTGGGAACCTCACTCATCATCCTCACTTCCCCCAAAGTTGACCTCCCCAAATACTTTCTCCTTCCGCCTTGAGAAAGTGGTTTGAAGGTGTAGCAACCCGGATGGGATTCTATCCACAGCCTGGTCAGATCCCAGCGGCCTGGCCCTCTGCCCCAGACCTGGATTCTCAGCCAGTGCTCCCCACTCCTTGCTTACCTGTCAGCACTGAGGATGGGACTGCTGGTGGAGAGGGGGCTGGGGGAGACGAAGGAGCCACCCAAAGTCCCGTTCCTCAGGGGCGTCTCCTGGCTGTAGGCCTGGGCAGTTGGGGCACTGAAGCTCTTGGGCTCAGGGTCCTGAGCTCGGGGCCCTGCTACTGCTGTCCTCGCCACAGACTCCACATAGCTCCGGGGTTCTGGAAGGAGTCAGGGGACAAAGAATGAATTCAGAATTCCAGCATGTAGTTTGAGGCTTACCCACTCTGCCAAGGAACACAGCCCCCAGAGTCCAGTCTAGGACAAGGACAGTACAGCTATACCCCTACACACAAGGCTGCTAGGGCACTTTTGTGGGACTCCAGTCTACCAATACTCCCCCACCCCAAGGCAAGCTTTAACTAGCACTGGTTCCTAGAAGCTTCCAGTTCCCCAGGCTTTGTCTCTGCACACAGCCACCAGCCTCTTCCCCTAAGAACTCCAATATCTATCCATGGCTGGCATCCTCTCTGCAGCCTCGTTTTTGCTATGACCTTCCTACCCTGTCCCATCAGGGTCTCCAGATGTCTGAGCCTCTAGAGTGGACCCAGAGCCCTCATCTGACCTTGCCTGTATCTCAGGACAGCACCCAGCTTGCTCACCCAGCAACACCCAGTACCAGCTGCTGTAGACTCACCAGCCCCTTCTTGTCAAGATGCCCCACCCCTCTGCCTGACACACTCAGCATTCCTCAGGAGACTGACGCCAAGAACCCTGTGCCCAAGCAGAGCTGGACATTCTGCACCCACTCTGGTCCCGCTGAAGTACCAGGCCGTGTACACAAGGCATCCACACACAGTATCCCCACCTGGTATTCAGAATAGCATGGAAGGCAGAAGGGCCATTTAACAAATGGGATGACTAAGGCCTGGAAAGTGAAATGACCAGACACACTGGACCCAGGCTTCCTGACTAGCCCAGTTTACTGCCTATTCACACCTCCTATGGCCTCAGAGACCAGCCTGGAAATCACCCCTATGTTGACTAGAACAAGGAAAAGGCACTCAGTTAATTCGGGGGTGTGATCGGATGGAGGACATGGATGCCATTCCCATCCCCTGGGATCCTGTCACCATCCTGTGACCTCAGAGAAACAAGATCTGAGCACAGACCCCTAGCTGCCATAAGCAGGAAATTCACAGAAGTCAGTCTAGGAAGTGGTGCCAACCTGGGCCAGCCAGGCCCTGGAGCCCTTGAGGGCCAGGACTGTGATAGCCTAAGTTGAAGGAGAATCCCTTCCCAGGTTCCTCAGGAGCAAGAGGAGAAAGGTAGAGGCAACCAAAATGAAAGCTCACTCCCTCAACCAGAAGGGAAACTGCCTTGGGAAGGAGGAGGTTGTCTGGGGTGTCCTGACACTGCATTCCATAGAACGGTACACTCCAGCATCCACACCCAGATCATGACCTCTGTGGACATGGGGAGACGAAGTCCAGCAATCTAAGCCTTTTGCACAGGGCTCCTGGAGGCCTGGGGTGGGGGAGCAGTAGTACATCTGCATAGAGCTGGTGTCAGGTGGTCTATTCCAGGTACCTGGCACCTGGTGCCACAGGAATAGCCTCCTGAGAACCCAAAGTTGATGCTCAGGTTGTGGGGAGAACCCATAAGGCCTCCCTCAAGCAGCTCAGACCACCACTCATTTCATGGATGCCCTAGGCCAAGCTGACATGGAAGGTCTGGACTCTGGCCTCCCCCTGGGTCCAGGCCCTGTGAAGTTGGGAGATGCCATGAGGTCTTGTGACCCAAGGCTAGTCTGCTTCTTTGTAAATAACTTAGGTGGGGTGGTCAGATGGTCTCTGTTGCAATCACTCAGCACCACTGTCATGCATGACAGCACCTGTAGACAACAGCTAAATGAACCGGCATGGCTGTTTGCAACAGAATTTTCTTTAGGGAAATAGGTGGCAGGTGAATTTGGCCAACTGTCGGAGTTTACTGATCCTGACCTAACTTGTCCCTTCAGCCTAGAGGGGGGGAACAATTTTCCCAGGACACACAACCAGTCAGGGGCTATGGACAGAAGCAGTCTCCAACCTCACAACATAGGTTCTGACTTGCCTAAGGGCACCCACAGTCTCACAAGAACACTAGTCATGAACTAGAGGAATGCCAGCTCCTTAGGGACACCCATAGTGACCAAATCAGTCAAGAGTCATGTGAGGTTAGTAGATTTGTAGAATCTAAGTACCTACCATTGGTTACTCAGCCGACATGGGACAGAGGTGGCCTAGGTACCTAGGCAGCTTGTCTCCCAGCTGGCCTTTACTCAAAGGTCATAAGATCATCTAATGTTCAGGAGCCAGTGGTCTCCTTGCCCGATTCTGTCCCTGCTTCTCCATCAACATTTCCTGGGCCCTTCTAATTGCTCAGCACAGCATCACTTGGTTCCCTTTAGCACACCTTTTGTCTTTCACCCAGACCATGCCCATAGGCTTTGCCTGGCTCACAGCATCTGCACAGAAGCCTCCATGTAATCCATGCATGCCTGTCTCACAAATTCAGAGCCACAGGATGCTCCCTTCCAGCCCCATGCAGACATCACCTTGTCTAAGAAGTCAGACCCAATTGAAAACTCTGCTGACTTCACTCCCTGAAGTTCAGGTCAAAACTTACATGGGTGGCACTCACCCACCTTCCTAACCTCCCCTTATCTACATCCCCAGTGGCCACATTTTACATACTGCACCCCAAGGTCCCTGGCCCCAGGCTCCTGATGGTAGCTGGGGTAATTGGGGAGTTACTGGCGGGGAGGGAGAAAAAGAAGGAGGGAATAAAAAAAGGGAGGGAAGAAAAGGAAGAAGAGAGGGACGGAAGAGATCACGGGTGGTGGTTCATCCCCAGCTGTCCTGGCTCCTTCCACATGGGTGGGGACGGCTCCCACTCCTGCTTGGGAGCCCCACAGGGCTTCACAGCCTCACTAGTTTGCCCAGACTTTTCAATCATCCATTAAACTCATCTCGGTTGTCCCACTGGAATGAGCCATGGGCATCTGCCAAGACTTTAGGTAAGCACCACACTTTGTACTATACCCTTTTTTAAAAGTCTATATATTCCATCAACAGGAAGCTAAGAGAAGGCCCACGGTCAGGACAGATCCATACCCAAGCCACTTAGGTGGGGATTCCTTCCCAGCTGAGTGCCCTCTGCACTTCCTCGTAAACCTGAAATGAAAGCACTCACCTGCTAGAGATGGAGAAACATGAGAAGGGACAGGCTTTTCTAGTTCTTGGTAATTCTGGCTGGTTCCATGCTGGTCTTTGACCCTCAGCCTCCCTCCACCCTTGCACTCTCCTTCCCGAGGGGGAACTCCGCCTCCTCTTCCAGTCCCCTAGGGAGCAACTGACCCACAGGCCACCAAGCTAGGGAGGGCAGGCGAGGTGGAGCTAGGGAGGGTACTGCGTGGAGAACATTCCAGGGGCCCAAACCCATTCCAAGTGGCTGTTGGCAGCTGAGAACAACTAGAACACAAGAGTGACTCGGCTCCTCAGCTGGGGACTGTCAGCTCAAGTTCACTGCCTCTCTAAAAGAACTTTGTCTGGAGGAAAGGGGCCAGCGCTGCACACCTAGGCCCATGCTGCTCCCCCTAGTAAAGACATACAGGGGTGGGGATGGTGGCTCTGTGGCACAGCACTTGCCTAACATGGGCAAGACCCTGGGTTAAATCCAGTCCACAATAAATAAACACATAAATAAAAATACTAAGACACAGTGGGAGAGACGGAGGTAGTAAGGAAATTTTTTGAGCCAAGAGCTGCCATTAGGGTTAGGCCACATGTGCCCCTTCTGAGCCCATAATCACTTCTTCATACCCCTGCTTAGCCCCTCCACTTCATGGTAAAGTCTCTTCCCTCCCCAGGCCTCACTCATCTTGAGACCTTCAGTGCCTAACATAAGGCCTGGGACATGGTGGGTGCCTGACAAATCTACACTGTGTCACCTGCCTTGATATCCCAGTATACCAGGACCAAGAAACTCAGAGAAAAGAGAGTCTCCAAGAGGCTGTTCCTAGTCCAATGTCTGCTTTAATGCCAAATTTATCCTCACAGAATCACTTGCACAAGAAGAGTCTGCCTTGGGAAGACTTCTTGAAGCTCACCTTACATCCTCACTAGACGTCTTTTCCTGCTCTCTCAAAAGACGACACTGGGTCTCCACAGCCAGGAAAGTCCCTATTCAGATGTTCAAGTGCCCCTTGTGCTGGGTATGGTCAGTGGATGGAGTAGCCTCTACATGGTGAACTACCACAGATTCTCAGCTGTGTCCCTGAGTGTGGGCCTACTCAAGTCATTTAGCCCCCTCTGTTGATAAAATGGGATCCCCACCACTTGCTCTCAGCTCTGCTATGAACAGTAAATAGTAATGTGACAACAGCCCCACAGGTTCTGGTTCTTGCCTGTTACTTTGAATCTAATGCACAGGCACACATACACATGTGCACACACATATATGTGCATAGACATGCACACACGTGTACATATGCACTCATTCTGTACAGCAGTCTTATTGAGTTTGCACTTCCTACTGTGTGGAAAACAAGCTAGAGGCCAGGGAGATGACTCAGTTGGTAAAGTGTTTGCTACTCAAGGATGAGGACAAGTTGGGATGACTAGCACCCACATAAAAGCTAAGTGCAGGGGATGGAGAGCTGGCTCAGTGGTTGAGAGCACTAGCTGCTCTTTTAGAAGACCAAGGTTTGATTCCCAGCACCCATGTTGTGGCTAACAACCATATGTAACTCCAGTTTCAGGGGAATCAAATGCCCTCTTCTGATTTCCATGGGCATTGCACAACACAGGTGTACTTAAATACATGTAGGCAATATACTATTTTATAATTTTTATACTATTTTATACACATAAAATAAAAATAATAAAAATTTTTTAAAGCTAAGTGCAGTGGTCTGCATCTGTAACCCCAGTACTTGAGGTAGGGGACAGGAAGGAAGGAGACAGGAGCACAGTGGTTCAGCAAGAGACCCTGTCTCAAAAATTAATGTGGAGGGGCTAGAGAGACGCATCAGCAGTTAAGAGCACTGGCTGCTCTTGCAGAGGACCCAGATTTGATTGCCAGCACCCACATGGCGGCTAACAGCCATCAGCCATCCGTAACTCCAGTTCCAGGGGATCTGGTGCCTTCTTCTGACCTCTGCAGGCATTGCACGACATGAGTTCACCTACCTACATGTTAGCAATACATTCATTCACACAAAATAATAATAATAAATAATGTGGAGAGCAATGAAGGATGACACCTGACATTGACCTTGACACATGCATGCATGAGCAAGTGCACTGTGCATGCCCACACACAAATGTGTGCACAGACACACATTACACACACACACACACACACACACACACACACAATAGCTATGACATTCAGTCCCAGGGCTCATGCACATGCTATTTCCCTCTGCTCTATTTCCTATCCAAGTTTTGCCAGCTTACACCACTAACACACACACATACATACACACACACACACACACACACACACACACACACACAGGTGCACATACAACATCCCCATATCTGACTTTTTTAGCCTAAAGTCTCATAAGGCTGTATCCCTTCCCAAAGTGCTTCATGAATAATTCTGGTTCCTATTCATGAAAATTTTCATGAGATTAGGATCCATATCGCGTACTGCTTATTAAATCCCCACAGCCTGGCCCGTTGCCTGCCTCATAACAGGCACACAAAATAGTGATTGACTCAATGCATCAATGAATAAAAGAATGCATGACTATATTTAGCTCAGTGGCTTGAACAGAGCAAACATCCTTCAAATTCTTCCTTCCCCAGATGAAGAATTCTGCCACTGATGGTTTTTCCTCACAAGCCTCTTTTTCTGAATTTCCCATCAAAGTATCAGCAGGGACATCAAGCACAGCTTCTAAGGGTCAGCAAAGAATGTAGCCTGGGCTGACCCAGGAGATGGCGCCTGAGTCAGAGAACATGGAAGTGGCACCCCAGCCTTGTTCCCTGCCCTCGACACCCACTCTCAAACTGGAATCCCAGGCCACTGAGCCTGGAGGCAGGGGTGGACTTGGGTAGGGCCCCTTGACTAGGAAACTGGAGACCCAGAAGTACAATCTGGTTCAGTTCCCTCTTGATTGTGATCTTGGGAGGGTCCCTCACCCCCACTATAACCCAGACCTCAGTTTTGTGTCCCTGAAATAATGGGTGTGGCTTGCTGGATCCCAAGGAACCTTCCCCTTAAAAATTCCTCAACTTTGGAACAAGGACAGAGGGTTGGGGGACTCAGGACCTTGTTAGTCCAGAGTCATTTGTGAGGCACACTTGGCAGGCCTCACTTCAGTTCTGTTAATACCCACTCCTCTGTATAGTCATCCAGAAGCAGAGACATGACCACCAGGGCCCCTTGTGCCTATGTGGGGACTTTTTCCCTGGAGTGCTGAGGCCCTGAAAGGAAGTCATAGTATACTCACTCAGACCTTCCCTCTCAACCTCTCTGTGCTGTAAGACACTGAGGCTGTGGGAACTAGCCTGGGAGAAATCTCTTCCCTTGTATGAGCCTGGTAGAGAGTGGCCTTGACCCTGGCTTCCAGGATCTGAGGCTGGATCTGCCTTGCTCTGAATCCCCGACTCAGGCTGGTCAGAAGCCAGCAAAGTCTTCTGGGAAGGCACTACCATCTCCCCCAGATCAAGCAGTCAGCAGGGCCATGCCTGGACTGGGATGGAAATCAAGGCACTCGATGCAGAGGAAGGCAGACTTAAGAAAACCAAACTAAGTCCTTACAGAGTAGGCACAGATCCCTGGTGGGAACACCTCACATATCACAGTGGAGGGGCCCTTGGTATCCACCTGTCTAACTTCTCCTGTAGAGATGGAAATACTCATGCAAGAAGCACACAGGCGTCTCTTAGGTCAGCCCCCCTTCATTTCACTGTTGCTCCGAGTCTTCACTGAACTTCTGTCACTATTGACTTAACGACCTTCCACCAGATCACTGCCCAGGAGACAATACCACACTTTCAGAGTTAGGCTATATAGCTGCGCTAACTCCTTAAAAGTGCTTTGCAGGGGACTTTGCAGGGTGAGATAGGTCAGTGGGTAAGGGTGCTGGCCACCATGCCTGACAATCTGAGTTTGATCCCTGGGATAAACATGGTGGAATGAGAAAACTGACTCCTCTTACTTTCACATGCACACCACAGCATACAAGAACACACACACGCACACGCACACACACACACACTTAATTAATTAAACATTTTTTTTTAAAAAGAAAGTGCTTTCAGAACTGTGTGTGGGTGTCTGAAGACTTTTAAGAGTGGACCCATAACCAGCCTACAATCTCCACAGGTACCTGGGGTCGCAGAAGGATACACTTCTCACTCTCTGTGTTGACAGAGGACAAGTCATGGCTCTGTGACAGTGACTCTAAACTAAAGACAATTACTCCCTGTTATGGTTTGAATCTGAAATATTCCCCATAGGCTCCTGTTTTGAATACCTGGTCCCCAGTGATAGTGCTACTACTTTAGGAGACTGTGGAGCCAGTGGAAGGAAGGAGAGGTAGGTCATCAGAGGAGGGCCTTTGACAGTGATACCCAGCCCTGATTCCTGCCTCATTTTCTGCTTCCAAGTCTGTCTGGATGTGAACAGCCTCCATCACACACTCCCACTACCATCGCCAAAGCTGCTCCACATCCCTTCCCCATCATAATGAACTGAAATCTCTCCAAAACAAGCCTTTCCTCCCTTAAGTCCTTTCTGCCATGTATTTCAGTCACAGAAATGCAAAAGTAACCAACATATGATGCAAGGAGACCCTGGTCATATTGAAGGCCTTTTTTTGCCAGGTGCGTGTTACTAATATCTAGCAAGTGGAAGGCAGAGATGCAGCTACACACCCTTGACGCACAGGACAGCCCCCAGAAGGAACCGCCTAGGTTTAAATGCCTACAGGGCTAAGGGGGAGAATTCTTACTCACTCCACCCCTCCCTGTCTGCAGCTGTGAGCACTGCACACCAGGCAGGTGGCACATGTTTCCCTGGGAGAGGAAGTGACACAAGGGACATTTTTGTCAACAAGGTGGCACCATCCTGGCGCCTGGACACCAGCTGTGCCTGAACCAGTGCCCAGTGGCAACAAGTTCCCCAAGCAGCATTCAGGCAGTGCCCAGGGTGGCATTTCATTGCCAGAAGGTGGAGACAGGAAGGCTATGTGCCTGGTCACTTGAGATCAGGTCAGAAAAGAGAGCTATCCTGAGCCAGCCTTGTTAAGCTTGGTGTGGAAAGCCATTCCCAGACCCAGAGAGTGGGAGCCACATACAGCAAAGTGCACTTACCTTTTGGAAGCTTAGTCATCTCCTCCCTCTCCTCTTCCTCTGAGGGAGGAGGAGGAGACAGGAGGAGGAGGGGCGGGAAGGAAGGGCAGGTGATGAAGATGAGAAGAAGAGCCAGGAGGAGAAAGAAAGAAAGAGAAGTTATCAGGATTATTTCTGGAGAAAGAATTTGCTGAGGAAAGGAAGGCAGGAAGCTGAGGCCAGGAAGAGACTCAGGACCCCACTGGCTCTCAGGAGCCAGGTTTCTTCTAGCCTCTGCAGCTAGGGCTCATATGGACTAAGTGTCAGGCAGTAGCATGCTGACTAGAGAGAGGAGGCCCCTGGCCCTTCATCTCTGCCGTGGTTCAGTGTCTCTGGCCATGCTGGCACCTCCTTCCTGAGTAGAGCCTGTGCCCCAGCCAATGTCTGCGTGGGTCACAAATGCATGCCAGTGCCCTCCTACCTGGCTGGATCAGTCTTCTTGTAACTAAGGAAAAAAAGGAAAAGTTGGCCCCAAGGACCCCATCCAAGCCCAAAAATCAGATCATTTTCTAGGCTCAGCAGGCTCCAAATTGCCATTTAAAAGTCCTGGGACCTGCCTCCCTCCAGGCAGGAAGGAGAAGAATTGGAGAATGGGAAGAAGACAGGGATAGAGGTCTAGTGGTCATCTGCCTTAGACAGCAGCCTTCTCCCAGACACTGTCCACTTCATAATCAGCACAGGTGACCCTGGGGTGACTGGGAAACAGCCCAGAAAGTTCCTAGAGCCCAGCTCCCATCTTCAGTAGTTGGGTCAAAGGCTGCCAACATCAGGCATTTAGACACAGGGATGTCTGCCTAGGGGTAACAGGGGCCTTTACAGATAGAGGAGACCCAGAGCTGATGGCGAGACAGACGGGGAGGTGGCAGACAGCGTGGCTGTTGTGAGTGACCCACTTCTCAAGGAGGGCTTTGTGGAAAGATAAGGAAAACATCCCAAAAGCCAGGGCTCTGGCCTCTGATGCCACAAGGATGCTCAGCAGAGAGGCCACTAAGCTGTGGCAAGCTGGGGGCTGGGGTATAGTCCTATAGTGTGCATATGTGTATGCAAACACAAGTGCTGGATACTAGAGACAGGAAAGGTGGGCTTCTAGCAGAGCTGACCAACTCCAAGGAAACTAGGAGTAGTCCTCAAATCTCCAAGACCCAGAAGGCAAAAACAAACAGGAAAAACACTCCAACTCCTTCAGAGCCCCCTCCTCCAGACCTGTCCTTAGTATGGGCCATAGCCATAGTCTCCTCATCCCCAGGGGAGTCCCAAGAACCTCTGTTCTGTGAACACTCCAGTCAGATTGCCAGCCCAGGCTACTGGGTCCTACCACCCTGGCCTCCCTTGCCACCTCCCTCCCTCCCTTCCTGTCACTCACCACCAGTAGGGTGCAGTAAGATGTCCGCTGGGTTGTGGGGTTTCAGGCCCAGGGCAGACAGGGGTGTCTTGGCCAGACCTGGAGGGGAGCGTACTGTGATGAAAGAAGAGAGGAGATACCAGAAGTGAGGTCACACTATGGTGAGGGGGTGAAGGAGCGTGCAGGTGAGCCCAAAGCCCACTGTCCTGGCTCCCCTGCCAGTCCCTGCCTATATTTCTCTACATTGCAGCAGTTTGAAGGGCAAAGGGAAAGAGTCAGGAAGTGATACACCCTTGTCCGGCCCTGTTCCCAACCTTGAGAAAATCATTTCTGTCCCTAGGCCTGTGGCTATAATCCCTTTATACTATCAGGGTAAACTGTACATATGGGCTTCTTCAGCTGGCTCTGCCTTTCTCTAGACTATTATCTTCCCTCTTTCTCTCTCTTTTCCCAGCATCCCCAATCTCTCCTCTCTCTCTCTCTCTCTCTCTCTCTCTCTCTCTCTCTCTCCCCCCCCCCCCCCCTCTCTCCCCTCTCTCTCTCTCTCTCTCTCTCTCTCTCTCTCTCTCTCTCTCTCTCTCTCTCTCCACACAGAGTCCTTGTAAGCCATGCACATGAACAGACTTAGAGAGGGATAAGCAAAAAATGGAGTCTCAGGACACATCCTGAAAAGGACAGTGTGGGGGTGAATATCACAGGCAAGGACCTCATCAGCCTTGAGACTCAGTAGCTCCAGGCCACACATCCCTTGAAAATCACAGCAGGAGAGGTCTTGCCAGTGTGGGACTTGGTACCCCAAGTCTTGGTACTCTGGGGAGAAGCCAGCACTCTTCCACCAAGAGCACAGCTTCTTCACGAAACCACAAAACCAGGCCCCACCTGAACTGCCCATCTGGTTTGAAGTGTCACATAACACACAAGGTCAGAAAGGGCTGCCTGGCTTTTTCCCATCAGCCAAGGACTCTGAGCTGGGGTGGTACTATGCCCAGTCACGAGATATGGTAGCAGCTGCCACATCTCCTAGGCACAGCTCTGAGAAGTAACAAAATGAGCTCTGGGGCTCGTATTAGACATCTTGGAAGCCAGCAGAAGTTGCAGTCCTTGAGGACACACCCTCCTGTCCAAGAATCTCAACAGATGAGCTGTGGCCTTCAGATGCCCAGGACCTAAACCTGGCTCTATGGTTGTGTTTTTCCCCAAGAAGGAAACAAACAGCAAGAACAAAGTACCAGCCCTCAGTGCAAGCAGCAGGCATGGTTTATCTGTGCGTGTACAGGTGAGTACACACATACACACACACACACACACACACACACACAAGCAATCACAGGTATAGATGGGGTCCACCTCAGTACTCCACCTTCTCTCTGTCCCTAGTCATCCTGAGGGACAAATACGCAAACATGCACATCCAGAGACTGAGCAGACAAGGCCTTTCCTCACTCTTTCCACACCATCTCCACACTCGCACCGCTAACATGGTGTTTTGCTCACAGGTACTTCTCGACTTAGTCATGTTTATCACCCAAATGCTGGCTTAAATAGTATCATTATGAAAGAACAAGCCCAGTCTCTGGGAACAGTGTTTATGGGAGAAACACGAAGCAACTCCAGCCTCAGCTGATATCTGTGACCTAGCAGGTGCAGCTGAGGGGCAGGGAACCTGTCAGAGAAGAGGAGACAGAAGCACCAGAGACGGTAGGAGCTTTCTCTTGTTTTTCTACTTCTCCCACCTGAAGGCAATGTGGCCCTTCAGCTGAGGCAGAGCAGTGGGTGGTCAGGCCACTCTGAAGCCAGACAGCCCTCTGCTTCCTGAGAGAAAAATTCCTTGCATTTCTCTGCCTTCCATCCTCTCTCTCCAGTCCCAAGGCATTTCTGAAACCTCTGGCTTATCTCTGTCCCCAGGGCCCCCATGACTGGAGGAGAGGAAAAGGCAGAACCCGACTCTAGTAGAGTTAACATGGTTTCCATGGTGTGCTGGCAGGGCACATCTTGCCTTCGAGGCTGTTGGACTCTACAGCAAATAAAAGCTTTTGCAAAAGAAGAAGATGAAGAGCTGGAGAGAGATGCCGTCAATCACAAGAGGCGGCCACAGAGTCAGCTCGTGGGCAGACTGCCCTAGAGGTGCAATTGCTCTTGTTTCAATAAGGGGGCCATCAGCCCCACATGACTAATCTGAGCTAAGCTGGGCTAGATATGCAAAATACACACTTGAATTCTCAATGTGCGCAAAAATAACACAAAATTACTCTTTCATTGCTGTTATTTTGGTTTGTTTTTTGAGACAGGATCTTGGAATCAAACTTGTAATCCCTCAGCCTCAGCTCCTGAGTGATAGGTTGCAAGTGTGCACTACCATGCCTGGCTCTGTTTTAATATTAATATCACTAGCTCAACATTTTAGACTAGAGTTAAATAAAAAATATGACTAATACTAATGTCACTTGTATCTTTTTATTTGAAAAAAATCCCATGTGTGTATATTTGGTGTGTGTGTGTGTGTGTGTGTGTGTGTGTGTGTGTGTGTGTGTGTGTGTGTGTGTGTGTGTGCATGCGTGCGTGTATGCATGTGCCCATGGCATGCACACCCAAAGGCCAGAGGCTGATGTTTGGTGTCTTCCTCTATCCCTTTCTACCTTACTTTTTGAGATAGAGTCTCATTGATTCAGCTAGGCTGGGTAGCTAGCAAGTCTCTAGGGTCTTCTTGTCTCTGCATCCCAGAGCTGAGATTACAGTGCTCTTAGCTTTTTATATGGGCGCAATGCACTCGAGTCTTCATGATTGCACAGCAAGCACTTTACCCAAAGAGCTACCTTCTCAGCACTCTTTTTACATTCATTTAATATTATAAAACATCTTAGCAAAATATTGACATTGAAATTGACATATTAATTTCCTTATTGAAGTGACAATTTTTAAATTTAATTTTAAAAAGTTGATTTATTTTGATAGCTGTCTGAAATAGGTCATTTTAAATCACAAAGGTGTATGTGTGGCCACTGGGCAGCAGGATCCATGGCTTTCAGGGCTACTGTGTCCCCAAGATGGCAGCTCACACATTCTGGCTCATTCTGTCCCTATGTGGGACAGCCATTCCTCAGGGGATGCAAAGCCAATTCTAGCCCTCTCTTCCTTGCCTGCTTCCCTTTTCTCAGGAGCTAGTAAGATAACTTGTGCAGGCTAGGCCCAGGCTAACTCAGTCCAAAGCATCACCAGTCTCTACTTTCTCTACCACTCTGGGCTTCTCGTGGGGGACAGTAGGTCCCTCACTACCTAGTATGGCTCCAACACTGTGCCCCTACAACAACCTACAAGTTTCCTCTCAGAGAACTTCCTCTATAGAAAGGAACACTGCCTGCCTTGACGATCACTCAGATCTCTCTGTGTATCCTGTGAGGAACTTTCTTTCCAGTAAGTATACTAGAGAGGTAAATTAAATGCCCCGACCTGGAGGCCAAGGATGCTGAGAGGGAGGATCTACCCACTCCAGACCTTTCTTTCTTTAGTGAAAGTGTCACAGAGTGCCTGAGATGAAGGAGATACCTGGATTCAGATAGACAGGGGGTCAGAAACGAGGGAAAGACAAGTCACAAGGGTCACAATGGGGTGGGAGATCGTTCAAGTGTAGCTTGTAAAAGAATGACTCAATGAAGAAACTTCCACAGTATAAGAGCTAGGGCCTGTGGTCAGGCAGTCTGGATGCTATGACTAGGCCAGCCTCATCCTTAGATTGAGAGTAGACAGTAGAGAACACAAAGCAAAGCGAAGAAATAGAAGTGGCGATGAGCCATGGAAGAAGTGATCAATTCTATCCCTGCCTGCCCCTGCTGATCCTCTTCTCACCCAACCCCACATCTGGGGTGACACCCGAGCCAACATGGAAACAGGGATTGAAGAGGACATGGGGAAGGTAAGTTTGGCAGCTGCTCTTACCCCCACTGGGCGGTGGGCTGCTTGGGGCGGTCCCCTCCATCTCCTCAAAGGCCTCCTTGTAGCTGTGCAGATGTGGCTGCAGGAGAACAAAGGGGAGAAGGGGAAGCCCTGAGAAGTTCCTCTTCAGATGACCTTGGCCATGAGAATGGCAAGCTCTGTAGCCCACATATTCCCTTCCCAGCCTGAATCTCCACCTGTGCTCCAGTAAGCCAGGCCACTCACTGACCCTAAAATTCATCATCGTTGGCAGAGTTAGGGAGAGGTTATTTATAAGGCAACTCCAAAGCAAAATTTAGGAACTATTTCAGAAGAGGGTCACAGAGAAGGGGCTGAGGGCAGGAGCTTCCCAAAGGCAAGAGAGGAAGGAGGGCCTTGGGTCTCCTGAACAACACCTACATCAAGGTATTTAAAATAATATTCCTGGGGGCTGGAGAGATAGCTCAGTGATTAAGAATACTTGCTGTTCTTCCAGAAGACCTGGGTTTGATTCCTAGCACCTACATAGCAGCTAATATCCATCCATAACTCCAGTTCCAGGGGATCTGACACCCTCTTCTGGTCTCTGCAGGCATTGCACCCAGGTGGTACACTTACATATACATTCATATACATAAAACAAAAATAATTAAAATAATGGGGGCTGGAGAGATGGCTTAGCGATTAAGAACAATCGTTGTTCTTGCAGAAGACCCAGGTTCAAATCCCAGCACCCACATGGCAGCTAACAACTGTCCATAACTCCAGTTCCAGGGGATCCGACAGCCTCTTCTGACCTCCGCGGGCATTGCACGACATGGGTGCACTTACATGCAGGCAATACACGTACACACATAAAATTTTAAAAAATAATAAATTAAATTTAAAAAAATGATAGTCCTGGGTCTCTTACCAGACCTATTATGTGGGAGTCTCTGCAGGGGTGAAGGTTGGGAATGGAGGAATTTAACAAACTCCTTAGGTTCTTCTGCACACTGAAGTTCCAGGCCCACTGCCTCCAACTACCGAAATGTTTCAGCAATGAAAACGTTTTGTCACAAAATTAAGGCTCCCAAGAAAAGCTTTATTTCTCAAAGGTTCAAAAACATTTTTGCCATTCTCTGTGACCTGCCTCAGACTTTAGAACTTGGGGGAGGGGTCACCTAAGTGACCCTCATACTTACCACCCTCCTAGAGGAATTTTGTTAGGATCAAGAAGAGAACTTCAGTCTCAGAGTTAAAGAAAGCAGTTGGAGTGTAAACGTTACAGGAGGAAGAAAGTGAGCTAAAGATCGTACGTGCCAGAGAAGCAGCCTTGGGTGAGGATGCAGTGAGGGACAAATCATTGTGTTTACTGATAAGTCATTGCCAAGTTGACCTCAGGTTAATGAAGATGCACCATGAACTCTGATACTTGCTGTGGCCCTGGAACTCAACTAAAGGACTCACCTCTTTGGGCCGCCCTCCAGGATTGAGGGCAATGGTAAGAGCCAACTCAGGGGATACACACTGGACAGGGGAGCGGACCCCAGGACTACCGGGGGATGTGGTCTCCGGAGACTGGTTCTCATACTGCCCATCACTGGCTGCCCGCCTCCGGAGAGGGGCTGGGCGTTCTGCAGGTTGTCTCTCCCGAGCCTGAACCCCTGGGAGGAACAACAGGACATGAAAAGCAATGAGCAGGCAAAGGAATAAAGCAATCCCACCTGATCCCCCAATGAAAGTGATACCTTTAGTTCAGTCTGAACTAGAGTGGTTCCCATCCCCTCAGCCCTTTGCTCAGCCTTCCTGGCCCTAACTCAACTCAGACCCTAAGTTTCCTCCACAGGGTCGGGGATCTGTTTAGCCAGTGCTCTGCCTTCTAGAGTCACCTCTGCTCCACACAGGGTTGGGATCAAGAGCACAAAGAACTGATACAAGAAACAGATGTCAGCTCCTCCCAGTCCCCAGGAGGCAGAGGGCCAGAGCTTCCAGACAGGGAGGGGAGGGAGAGGGAAGAAAGAGTTTCCAAGGCAACTGCATCAACCAACAGGCAACATGGAGCCTTAGGGAAGGGCTTTTGGAAAGGGCTAAATTGCATCATCTTGCACATGGTGCTCCCAACGGGAAACAAAGAAACGGCCGAGTCGTGGCTTGGAGTCTCCTGCCACAACTAGCCTCGCCGATATTTCTAGACTTTTCAGGGGGTTGCTGGCCTTCATCCAGTGCACCTCTAAAACCTTGTACCAATTTCCCCTACACCAGCCCCCAACAGCCCACCTCCTCTCATCAAACAAGTGCTGCTGTGGTCATGGCCAAGGCCAAGGCCAAGGCCTCTACGGTGCTTCTCCCCAACAAAGGACAATCAAAGAGGAGGCACAGGCTCTGTCTTCCTATCCCTACTTCCTGTTTGGCTGCACCACACAGGCTGGCCATGTTAACCTCACCCTACCTCTCTCCCATTCCCCTTTCCCACAGCTGGGCTGAGGCATGGAATCCATTATCTCATTGCATTGGCTCCCAAAATCCTAGAAAACTGACTTCCCGGGTCCCAGGGGCCAAGGCCCAACCCAGAGGGTAGAATCCTAAGCCTGATTATCTTGAGTCTCAGGCCCGCCTTCACCACCACCAGGACTGACTAAAGGGCCTAGATCACGTGGGCTTGGGCCATAAGCACACTGCTGGGATGCTCTCCCAAGGCACAGGTGGGAGTATATGCATGTGCTTACACAGGCACATGTATAGGAACACAGGCATACAATGTGGGCTTTTAGGAATGTCTCCAAGGCAGCTGGGCAGGATTCACCCACATGTACCCTCAGTTCCCTCTCACCCTCGGTAGCAGACTTTGCGCACCTCTTATCATCCCCAGAATCCCCAATCTGGCACAGTCACAAATGGTGGCCATAGCCAGCACTGGCTGGGAAGCCTTCCTGCTTGTCACGAATAGCAGGGTGTTGGCTGCCAGGTCCAGGGACAGAAACACTTCCCTTACAGTCACTATCAGGCATATACATATGCTCTGGGTTAGATGCACTGAGGACCCATGGGGTAGTCAAGACTGGCATGCCAATAGTGCACATTAAACGTAGAAGGTGTGCAACATCCTGGGGTCTCCATTTTGGGTTATTACTCAGAGGCAACCCTGCCTGCTAGCATGCAGAGACCAGGATGGACTTCATCCTGCTGGCCACACATTGTTTTGTTTAAAATAAATAGGTCCCTAACCTCAGAATGCCCTGATTTTCAGAAGAGAAAAATAGGGGGTGCATCAGTTCTGAGCATGGGTTACTAGGAGCATTTGCAGGGAGCGAAGGGAAGAGGTGTCTCTGGCAGTCACAAGTCACCCCAGATTCCACCAGCAACTCCAGGCTCCCAGGACTCAGACAGCCCCTTGCCTCAGTCCTGCTTCTCCTTGCTCTACACAGGCCCTGCCCCACTCCGGCCTCTGGAAGTTATGGACCAGCCCTGCTGCTGGGTTTGTTCCTGGCAGAAACATTAGAGAGAAACAGACACAGTCATTGATTTTTCTAATAATGTTGTGACAAAAAAAACCACTGGAGAAAGGTTCTGGGTGTGTGGAACTGAGTTCGGTCCCAAGGTGAAAGGAAACACGTTAGGGCTGTCCTCTGTTCCAGGGGTGCAATGTCCCCGGAAGCCTTTCTGGAAATCTCTCTGCTTTTTCTAGGGTGGCCAGTTTCCCTGTTTGGGGGTCCTGTATTGACCTTGGGAAAACAAGTCTGTTTCCATTGGAGAGACTGAGCCTCCAGAAAGGGCAAAGATCATTCCCTACCCCCAGCACTGCCTCCAGGCCCAGGTCACAGAAGGCTACAGTAGTGAGTGCTGAGGCTGTTCCACGTGTGCAGTAGACCAACAGTAGAGCATGCAGACACAAGGCAGTCAGCTACCTGACAGCAAGTGAAGTCCAGTCATCTTAGCTCCCTTCCCCACCACAGCCAGGCTGGCACCTGGAAGCATGCTCCAGCCAGAGGCAGAGGGATGGACCAAATGACCTTCAAAGAGCCAGGGAACTGCAGGACACAGCCTTTCCCTGCAGAAGGGGAAAAGACCCCACATTCCACTCCCACAGGGCCAGCCACTCCTGCCAGAGAGTGGTCCACGGTACCAGTGATTAGTCAGAGCACTCACATTCTTGGAACACAGTGTCCCACTGTTGTCCCTTTGGCAAGCCTAGAGCTGCCCCAGAGTGCTTGGAGAGCCATGGTCCTGGCTCTTTCGTCTCTCTATGGGAGGGGAGCCGGACACAGTAGAGGGGAGAGAAGAGAGCCCCATTGTTCCTCAGCCAAGTGGGGACTCTGGACACAAGCTGACAGCCAGGGTCAGAGAGAGAGCAGCCCTCTCACGTCTCAGCAAGTGACCAAACATCAAAGGGGTCCAGCTCTCTGTGCAGCGACTTCTTCAGTCTCCCAGTCATTCTCTCTCTCAGACCTTTGTTTGCGATGTGCACACTGGAGAATGCACGTGCATGTGAGCACATGCACACATACACCATATACACACACACTGTCAGTGCACATACACAGTCTTGGCAGGACAGGAATGGCCGTAGGACTAGCATTTTAGTAGTCCGCTTGGCTGCTGTATCTCACTGCTGGAGACCTTAAGACCTGAGGAAACTGATTAGGAAAAGAGGGAAGAGAAGCCATCAAAGGTCTCTGGAAGGTTCTCCTTGTCAGGCTGCTGAGTCCTGAGAAACAGAATGCAGTGATGGCAAGAAGGTAGCCTTTAGGCTCAAACACGCCCTCAGGCAGTGCTGTGTTGTTCTAAGGGTTGTTTCACCTGGGCCCGACATCTGATTGTCCCTGAAGACAGGTGATCACCTCAGCCTGAGAACCACCAGACAGGATCCATATCTAGGGGTAGTACATGGTCAGCCCCTGCCTCCAGGACAGTGCTGAGGAACGGCTCTCTGCCCAAGGTGCCCTATGTGAGCTGGATCTGACACAATTAATCCCTTTCACCAACACACATGAGCAAGCAGACACACACACACACACACACACCCTCTGCACACTGTGGCAAAGCATTACCACTATTCTCGAGTCACCACAGGCCTCCCCCATAGACCCCCATACTGGCCACCCCAACAAACCCAGCTCTTCTTTCCAGCCTTCCAATTTTCAAAAGACTGGATTCCTCAGCTCCAGGTGGCAGGACTGGGTGTCCAACTGCATGCCCAGGACTCCGGAAGTAAGGGGATCCAGGATGAAGGCCACCTGCTGGGCCAGGGCACTAGAAAGCCACATGCGATCACACTAGCAGCCCCAGGGCAAGCCATGCCAGCTCCCCTCGGGACAGGTCCACTGCCCCATGACCTGACCAAACTCCATGCCCAGCTGAACACTGCACTCCCCACCACTGGGCCAAGAAAAGGGCAGAGGAAGAAGAGCAGAGGAGGAGGTACAGATCTCTCTAATACCCATGTACTGGGACAGGAGGGTTCATCGGGTACCAGGCCTGCCATCAAGGGTTGAAGGATCCTACCACCTCTCAGCCTTTTCCTGGAGCTACTCAAGGCTGTGGTATTGGGAAGGCCTCGGCACATTTCCTCTCTGGCAATGGCATTCAGGCATAAAGGAGCAAGCAAAGGATGAGAGTCTAGCAGCCCACATAGCCAATAGGCTGGGAGCAGATGCTTAGTGGGCCCCATCCTTGAATACACCAACAGGAGCCTGATGTAGGGCCAGCTCATCTGCCCCATGCTGGACCACTGTGTGCCACATATTCGAGGCAGGGCTTTCAGACTGGGAACGTGAGTGATGAACAGTCAAGAGACTAGTCCAAGGTCAGAGATGGGCACAGACAGGGCAAGACTACAACCCTCAACCATACATCATAGGAATACTGTGCAGCAGGCACAGGACCTCCATCCACTCCCTGTCTTATACTTGGTACTCGAGGGAAAACAGCCTGGCTCCTTCTGAGATCTGGCCCTGAAGCCCAAACCATCCCACTTGGGGTGACTGAGGAACATTGTGACCCTTCACTGAGCACTTCACTGGGAAGGCCTGCATTTCCACCAGGGACCCTGAAAATTCATCTAGTTACCTCAGACCCTGTGCCCAGCAGGCAAAATCAAGCTATATGTATCTGGCCTGCAGCCATGCAAAGAGAGGGAAGGGATGGGTGCGGGGCAAGAAAAGTGGGGAGAAGGAGGAGAATGAGAAAAGGAGAGGAGCAGGGAGGGGAGGGGAGGGGAGGGGAGAAAACGGCCTCTCTGGTCATCACAGCCATCACAGACACATCTGTCCAGAGGACCAAGCTCAGAAACCACCCTGTATGACATTAGGAATGGTTGGGGACTGGGGCAGAGAAGGCACATATACAGAGCCCAGGCACTCACAGGCAGCTGGTCCGTGCTATGCCAACAGGCAGATTAGCCAAGCACTTCTGTCCTGGACCCCGGAGGAGAGGAGAAGGGAAGGTAAAGGTGGGAGAGAAAGAAAAGCAAGGGAGGAAGGTGGGAAAGGGTTGGAAGGAATATCACAGGAAGGAGAAAGAAGCTGGAACTAAAGCAAGGGGCAGAGCTGCAGGGAGAGGAAGCAGAGGAACCCACCAGAGATCGAGGCAGATCGGAGCCGGTGGAGAGGAGGGGTTTGGAAGTTGCCACTCCACCCAAGGCCCTGCAGTCTGGCATTGTACGCTG